CAGGGTATTGTCTTGGTAGAAACTAAATATAATGAAAGTTTCTTTTCATCTTCTCACCTACCAGTGATTGGGCCCAGAATAGACCTTAATGGACACCAAAGTCTCCTGGATGATCCATCATTTCCTGGCCAGCCTTGACAGCTGTTTTCGTGCCTTTTTCTAATCAAGGACCCATTAAGAGCTCATTAGAATGCGAGAGAGGAAAGGGAGGGGGCGAAATGATTGCATCCAATTACATGCAGACTTCAATTCATCAAGTGATTTGGTCTGGGAGAGAGGTTGGTGTCCTTTCAATGTGGGATGGCAGGAAAAGGGCTGCTTGTTGTGATTCACTTAAGCCACATCAAAGTGGAAAAGTACAATGGAGTTTTTTTCTGTTGGATGCTTCTAAACTTTATATTGCCTGTCATCGGTGTTCAAAGAACCAAAGGAATATACCCTCCTTAGTGTATACAGCGTATACTGTATATATTAATCCTCATTTTATATGCTGTATCACTTCAGTGGCATGACAGAAACAAATAAATGATGGTAATTAAGCTTTTATTGCCCTGGTTCCACCTTCAGAATAGGCGCCTAGTGATTTAAATGTAGGCCTGCACGATATGAAGAAAATCTGCAATGTGCAATAACACTATTGCTATGACGATAAGACTTGCGATAAATATGTGAAAAATGTTTTAAATAAAACTAGATCTTGTCACTATAAAAACTCAATAACATCTCATTGTAAACAAATCTAAAATGCCAAAAGAAATAATACTCCTGACATCAATACTGAGTAAAGCTTAGAGTATCAGTCATTCCTCTTTCCTCTGTTCTCTTCTGACGTGATGCGCTTGTAGAGAGAGGATGGGGCCGGTTTGTCTCAGCCAGCAGCTCAGTGTAAAACAATATTTTATTTATTAAGATACGTGACAAGTCGTCAGTTGTCGAGTTTTCACTTCGTTGTAAGTACAGAGTCATAATGAACTCTCTGGTCTTTAACTCCAGGGCCCGTTTAATACCGGATTCCCGTCCCGACATAACATTTTTATTATTTCAGGCAGTCTTTTGCGATGTGTTCATTGCGCATGTAAAGCATGTAACTCTAGTCCCTAATGTGCTAACTGATGCCCCACCAGTTGGAGAAACCTTTGACCAATCAGATCTTAGTTCAGAGATTAAGAATGGGTACCTCATGTAGGGACACAGCAAGCTACCTTCTGGCTAATCTGCTGTACAGATTGTAAAGCACTTTGAGGGAAATGTGTGATTTTGGGTTATATAAATTGACTTGATTTGACGACCTAGATACATTCATTAATGAGACAAAAAATGGCTGAGATTGATGCAGCTGTACAAGCTGTTGTCAGTCCACACACAGAAATAACTCTTACATCTTACTCTTTAATCAATTTGGAGAACATGAATGTGGCAGTGTGGGTACGGTCTAGAATCAGCTGTGTGAAAACTGTGCACAAAAAGATAAGTACCGTCCCCAACTAGACAAAGCCATACTGGCCTGCATGGCAGCGTTGCAATTGTTATAAGCCACTGTTGACCTGCCAGTCTGTGTCCACACCGTTCATCTAAAAAACATGCTGAAGGTGATGCATCACATTAAAGGTGAGCCTTGAAGTTTTTTCGTGTTCCATATATTCCCTCAACTGTACCTGAACCAAATGTTTGTTCTTACTCCTATGCTAGTGACATTGCCTAATATTTTTGCAACACACTCCTAACTAGCAACTCATCCTAGCCCTCTCCTGTGGAAACATAGGACAGGCTGTTCTTTGGCAATCTTTCAGTAGTCACCCTTTTTACATTATCTCGTAAGAGTAAATGAGAAACGATCATAAAGTAACTTCATCAGTCTTCGAGATCAGAGTACAGGATCATTAGCAGTGAGGCAAGAATACATTTCAATAGACCCAGTTAACTATATGCATCTTATCAGTAAAGATAAATTTAGAAAAAAAAAGATGGCTACTGCCAAGATAGGGTAAATGTTGGTGGATAGTTTTATGACACCCAAACTTGACCTTGTTAAGTTTTCTCAGCATCTTCAAACATTTTCTGACAGGGTATAATTTCTTCAAAGGAGCTTTTTTGCTCTATCTCTCCATGTTGGAACTTCAATGTGGATAGTGAATATAATAAATTAGGCAATCATAACTACATATACCCCCCCCTCAAAAAAAAAACAAAAACAAAAGCTTTCTGAAAAGCTGTTTTAGACTTTAAACCTCAAAGGAGCCATTAAATGTTAATGTAAATCTCTACCAATACACTGTATCAAAAAAATCCAAGGGCATATACAATATATGATTTAAAGACACATTGGCTTTGTGCTTTTTTATGTTCTTAGGGGAGAATAAAATGCATATCTGGATTTTGACCAAGCCTTTAACTTTTCTGGCAGTGACTGAAATGAGCATTTCAAAGCTGGTTGCCTCCCATGTGCTCTCAGTCCTAGAAATGACTTAAGTAACCATCAATATATCCATTGATCCAATGCAGGCACACACCCTCTGCTGTGATTGAAATTCTATTTGTGCAGAAGAATTGGGTTGATCCGAAATACTATTCTCCCCTTCAAAGTTCGATCATGCCTGTGGCACTCAGGAGGGTTTGCCCTGCAATCTCCCATTCGATCTTCTCTGGACTTCAAGAGTTGAAAGAGGAGAAAGACAGCTTTCTGGCAGACAGAAAGAAAAGAACCTGTCAGTGTAAAGACTGTTTTTTTTTGTAGACACCTGTCTAAAGAAGAACCAGATGGGAAGATAGAGGGAAAAGAGCAGGTGAGAATGGGGACTACATGCCCTGTGCCAGGCCTTTCCAAACCCACCAGAAATCCCTCTCACCATTAAAACACCCTTTCCTTCTCCCCGCAGTGGATAATTGGCTGTGAGTTAGAATCCCCTTTGTTTCCCAGGTCCACTCATCTTTGTGGTTTCACGTCCTCTTTTATTCACCTGGAGGTAGTTGTCCCAAATTTCTTCTTGACTGGATCCAACCCAATTTCTGTCTCTCTACATCCCACTTACTCCCACTAACATGAGCCATATCACATATTCATCACAGTTTTTTCTGTGTTAGCTGCAACAGTGAACTTTGCTGGTGCGTTGCCAGTTCCAGCTCTCCGCTCGTGTTAAATCATCATTTACAATGCCTATTTTTTCCTCTGCACTTCTATCAGCACTGTTTTAACTACAAGCACAGAGCCCACTCATATGTCAAGGCCAGCATAGCTGACTCGATCTCAAATAGCAGAACAGAAGCATCATTTTCATTGACATGCTTGAGCTTTAAAATATTACGCACAGCATACCTGTACTGGTTTACACAGAACAACATTGGAACATTTAGTTGGAACCCCCAAACAACATCCACCTCTGCTGTAGCTGTTTTTAAATTTGAGCAAAAATATCTCTGCTGTGTCCCTGGTTCTGTAAAAGAGACCAAAGGAAGAAGCCCTCATAAGGTGGCTGTCTAAATCTTGCAGACCTGGCTTTATCTTCGACGTGGCAGCAGAATGTGTAGATTAAAAAGATAATTTGTTTTTTATCCAAGCATTAACCTGTGAAGGTTGAATCACCAGATATTATTAATTATTTGCGTTCATGCAGTGGTCTGGGTTATGTGCTCATGTTCTATGCATGTGCAATGGTCTTTGATAAAGTAATTTCTACGAGGCAACCTGGCTCTAAATCTTGAGATTTTGACATGTTTGACATTGATATTGAGATTGACATTTCTCATGATGTAGGTTTTTAGCATTTTGCTAAGGTAAGTGCACTGTAGGCTATGTCTACTCAGTCTGTGCAGTTTGTTGTCATGATTTAAGAAACTGTTCCATTTGTCACATTGAAGGATTTTTCTGTTTTTATGACTGATGCCCCTAAAATAGATAGATAGATTGTTGGTCTACTTTTTGCCTTGAGAACATACAATATAAAGATACTGTATGTAAACAATAGGGATGTCCAAGTTTTTTGGCCCCCATCCAGATCTGCGTTCCGATACAAGAATATTGGGTATCTGTTGATACCTCATGATACTGAATCAATCCAATACCTCCCTAAATCCTGACTAAATATGTATCTGTCACATCGAAAGAACAGCTGTTACTACGTTATGTGACACATCTTATTTTTAACAAGTTACTTGATCCGAATACTATTGGTTTTCGTGACAACTGATATAATGAGCGTTGGAGAAAGAAAAAACTGATCTTGGTTGGCTTTATTTTATCTGATACGATCAATCAAAATATGCCCACATTGGCCCTGACAAGGCTGTTTCCACTGTAATTGTGATTAAATTGAGGTATATCTGTTACTACTTCCCTGTTACCAGTATATGTGTCAGTCTTGTACTGTAAAATATTCCATTAGTGTATCTGGTAGCAGTTGCATAACAAAGTAAACAAAGGGTATTAAACCAGAGATCCACCCAAGGCTTATATTATTCCTTGGAAAATGTTCCCTGGATGCAGATAGCTACATTGCTTCCCTCTTTGTGTTGGACAGTTAAATGGGAGGATCAGTTCCCCATCCAGCTGCTCGGAAAGGAAAGGAAAAGAAAGGAAAGGTAAATCCCCTTTTGGGATATAAAAGCTGCTCTGTATTTTTACTATTATTCTTCCTTGAAAGATTCACAAAAAACAAGGCTTTTTTTGTCTTCTTTCCTTGATTAAAAACATACACTACCTAACAACAGCAGGCTGTTGGGGTTGAGTTGTACTTTGGATCCTTTGCGCAATCCACCTTAACTCTTTATTGTCTGAGACAGCCAATGTGTGCAGTATGTACCAAGGATCATTAACTTTTTAAATACAGTTGGTATAGTTAATAAAATGTTAAACAAGTTAAAGTTTATTGTTCTGGCATATTCTGTTCACCTCACCTGGAGAAAAAGTGACATGTATTATTCAAAAGACAAAGAGTTCAAAATACTTTTACAACCTTCTTCAACCACGCCAATGAATACACACAAAAGCGTCTTTAAGTTTTTTATTGCGGTAGTTACAAAATGTCAGCTTTAAAGAAATGGTACTTTAATAATATTTTTTCATAATTTCAGTAATATAACCCAAAAGTGACTATGTTGGTATCAAATACATGTTTAATATACTATCTTGGAATACAACTCAACCTTTCCAACATGAACTTTCCAACATAAATATTTAGTTTCACAATCTATAATTTAAGATAAAACAAAGTTGTTAATTTATATTACATTCATTTGGCAGGTACTACAATATAGTACAATACATCTGTATTGTGCTGTACAGTGTGTCCATATGTGACTCACATTGCACTGTTTCAACACACCAGACATCATTACTTTACAACTGTGTATGAAAGATTTCGCCCAGGCTATTAAATAACTAGCTGTTATCAGCGTGGCTTAGGTTGCACCATGACCCCACCTAATATATTTTTACACACTGTATTTTCTTCCCCAGGAAGAACAGCAAACAATGAGGAGAACAAAATGAGTTCATGAACTTTGTGAGTCAGAATAATATAAAACCTCACATTTCTTTTTATGCGCAGATGCAATCGCATTTCAGACAACACAGATGATGCTGAAATATCTTGGTGAGAGCAAAAAATAGGATTTTTTTCCCTTAAAGAAATAGAAGAAATTCAGTCATTTTTGTCCCATTTCAAGCAGCTCACTCACTATGTGACAGTAAACTGTGTCTAAGGTTTTGTTCAGCCACAAGGTTTTCATATCTAATCTTTAAGGCTGACTGTCCACATAGTAAATTAAAAATGACCAGATTGGGTCTGTGTATTTAGAGAGTGTAATAAGTTGTAATAACGTGTTGTCATAGTGATGGCACACAAATGCACTTGCTGACAGTCTGTGACTGTTTCGGTTGTTGTTTATTCTGCTTGTTTCGTAGAGAAAGCATGAAGACCCTTTATTTGTCCAGCTGCAGTATAACTGGACTTGGAAAAGTAATGTAAACTGTGTTTCAAACCACTTATACCTACCATATATATATATATATATATGTATAAATATTATATATGTGATCATGTTTTTTTTTTCATTTATATCAGATTTTAGCTAAACATAACTTTACACAATCCACAATGTAACACAATGTAAAAAATATTATTGTTGATGTGGAATATACTGAGATATACTGAAGTATTATGATTAACGGACAGTTTGAACTTTGTATATTAGTTGTTTGCTGCCTATGATACATTTGAATGGAGAGCTTAAGTCCAGAATAGATTATATCAGTTGTGAAAGACATTCCCCATGGGTTTAGCTTTCACATTTGATCCTATTTGAAATACATTCTGTTTGAAAAAATGTGGATATTTTCTTAAACAATAACTTGACAAAGTAAACAAGGACATTACAAATATATTTCTTCAAATGTACGAGTTGACATTACACAAATAGCTTTTTACAATTGTGGATTAATAAATAAAAACAGATTTACAAGCAAAGCATCGTATATCACATCTAGGAATTAAATGTGGTTATTAAAAAAGACTCAATTCAGGATAAATTTGGATGTTTAAGGTGAGTTTAAACACCTGTCTCTGCATCATCAGCCACATAGCAGACAGCAAAGCCATTCATCTACCTGGGTATTGTCACTTAAGCACCTCGCAGTGCCCCCATTAACTTCCTCCTCCCCCATTTTGCAATGAAACATCTTTAATATTGTTTGAGGACAGTTTTAGGTCTTAAAGATTAGAGAGAATTATTCTTGAATTTTAACCACCCAACTTCCCAGAAGTATTTCCCTTGAGCTCTCCTCTCCTCCTCTGTCATCATCTTCCTCCTTTTTGGGACCAGACCAGGTCCAAGGATAGTTTGTCCTTCTGTATTCACAACTGTCTTTGGATGCAGTGCCAAGAAGGATTTCAGGCATCCAGTTTTGTTTGTAACCTGATTCAAATATTGCATCACTAGATGGTATCTGACATCCCTTGTCGAAATCAGGAACAACTGGTTGGGTTGGGGAATAATGGGTGTTGCAGTATGGATGGGTTGGTGTGTTTAGAGTGCTATCATCACACCCAGAGTCTGACCACTCTGAGCCATCTAAGCTCTGCAAGGATGCTAACGATGGCCTTTCCCTCTTGGAGTCTATGCGGTCAGTCTGTGTGTCACCTGTGTCGTTCTCTAACTGAGAAGTGAGTAAAGGCAACATGAGTTGTCCGTTGGGATCACGCACTGTGCGCAACAGCAGTGGCCTGTCTGGATTGCTGTCACAATGGTCCACATCCTGTAATGGTTGTAATAAGGTCAGCTTTGGACTTATTGCACCTTCATCCCAGCTTTTCCCACTGGAAGACAATGGAAGGTTGCAGGTTTCTTTGTCTTTAGTGATAGCCTGCTGGAAATATTTCTGTACAACAGGGACATGGACAGCCACTACACTGTAGATTTCGGAGGACTGGGCGCTCGTGTCCTCAGCATTTGCGGTCAGACTGTGTGTGTCTGTGCCCACAGAGGAGCCAGTGCTGCCTTGCCAGGCTTGGCAGGGGATGTCCTGGGGAGAATAACCTCCAACCCCAACTGAGGGCGCATTTGGCTTCATTTGGATCTTTGCGTAAACTGTTTGGTGGTCATCTTGAGTGCAGAATACCGGTTTGGAAATGATGAGATTTCCATCTAGAGGCTGCAGTACTCCGAGTGAGGTGCTGGAAGTGGGTACCTGCTTTGAAGATAAGGGAGACAAACCCATCAAAGTCAAATAAGTGCTCATTTTCTGTAGATGAATCAATAGGTTGTCAGGCCATTACAATAATGGATATATATATTATATTTATAAAATGTGGGAATACACCACATGTTTGAAGTTAAAAAAACTAAATATGCTGGCTTTTTATAATATCTATCAAAACATCTGAAGATGAGGACACCACATTATTACAAAGGGCAAAGCCAAATGGAACCACACAAGACTTTTACTTTTGTCATCACTGAAAGGATTACGAGTCACTAAAACCCTCTTTCACTTTACTAAAGCAACCACAATGTTTCACTGTCTTTAATTACTTTAATTACTGTGTCACATAAGCACCCTGAACATGTGTACAGTAAATAATGTGTCAAAGGGCTTGACTTTCCAGTAAGGCAACATTTCCTTGTCGTAACCCAGACACACCAAAGGGCACTGCAGAAAGACTAGTCTTACCAATGGCTGTGGCATGCTCTTTTCCTTTCCACCCTTCACATAGTTGCATATACACAATGCTGACATTATGACTATGGCCACCAGAAGTGCACCACTTATCAGAATCCATGGCAAAAGCATCAGAGGATCACCTGAGGGAGAAGACAATTGGTGTCATAGACTGACATGGGAGAAGCTACACATTTGTAAAATCAGATACCATCAAGCGTTACAGAAATTCCCATTGTGACACACCTGCTTAGGCATGTCTGTGACGTAGGGCTGTTGAATACATTATATTTCTGGATGTACCAGTGTATATATATAACTACTGTTACTTCCCAGAAATATTGTTCAACAGGAAGTTATGTGAGCAGAAATCTACACAAGACCCTATAGAAGTGGATTTCCTCCCATCAGGAAGATAAGATAACAATGAGTGCAGTAGCAGTTAGAAATGCTTGTGCACTTGTATATGTGTATGTAAAAGTACAGTGTTGTGCAATTTTAGCAGTAGAGAATAAACAATAAGGCAAGCTAAAGTGAGAAGAACACCCTCTTTGCAATTAGACTGTGTAATCTAATCTCCCGTTTCATCAGTATGACAGTGAGAGGAGACCAAACATTTTTCATGGGAAAGCTCATCAATTCATTTTCACTATCATTCAACAGTTAACATGAGGATTTTAAGAGGCATGGATTCACAGTAAGAACAATGCTGCCAATACCAATATGTATCTAATATGACAGTAAAGCTAGATGCAGATGCAGACATGTAAAAAGGGAGTGATTTATAACAAACCAACCTGATTTATTACTAAACACTACATTGTTTCAAAGTGGCTGCAATCACTTGAGGAGATGGGTACAAACTACTTCAAGTAAAACGTAGAAAACGCAAAATTTTAAGTATCTTCATTTTTGCATTTCCTCCACAGCAGGTGGGTCCTTGAAAGATTCCCAGTAAGATGTTGGGTGTCATTACCTCAAGTGAAATAAAGTTTTTGTAAATATTGTAAAGGTAAATCTGCTCATTTCAGTCAAGTTGTTAGACATGCATATGAAGTTATTGATTAACTTTATCGATTCAAAATTGGGACCGGATTTTGAAATGAAGTGTATGAGAAAACACACATTTATTACCAAATAATTAATTTACACGTGGAATGTGTATTAAATATTGAGCATATCATACACTGTTAACGTATTTTTTAACATTCATGTGCTGATTAACATATTGTGCACTTCTGCTAAGTGCGAGAAGAAAAGTTGTATTCAGCATTGTCCTCACCTGGCAGTGTGGCACAGAAGGTGGCTTTCTCACTCTCTGAGCGACCCCAACGAGAAAAAGGCTTGTAGACCACGTAGCCACAGTACTCTGTTTGGCTGTTCTTCAAGTTGATAACGAACCGGCCAGTTGTGCTTTCATTGTGCTAGAGACACAGTTGGTAATATGGATGACAATAGATCGGTTTTAATCCATTGCAAAGAAAACTTTGGAACACCCAGAAACATTGCAGCTTAATAAGAACATAGAAATCTCTTTAAGACGACAAAAAAATCTGGAGGCAGGTGGATTACTAACTAACTTGACAGTTAAAAGGTCAAATCCTTGAATATTTTACCATTTAAATGAGCTCACATATGCAGATTAATGTTTTTTTAAATTATTGAATCAAACTGAATTATCTGTTTGTCAGCATCTGAAAACCAGAACTTATGTGCAGTTGTTTTTTGTGAATGAATATGAATATGGAAGCAGTACCTGGCTCCTATCGTGTGTGCGTTTTAGTGGTGATACAAACATGTCTTCTAGTCTTATACCTGACTACAAAAACCCAATCAGTTCATAGCTTTGATTTTACTTGTTCTGTTATGTCATATGTCATGGTTTGTATAATTCTATGACTGAATATTTATACAATCTATTGCATTATTTTAAATGGAGACTGACCTGTGCGGCCCACTTTGGTTGTGTGATTTTTAAGGTGTAAACAACGACGGTTGTTGAGGGCCCATGTTTGCTTTTGTTAATGATGTCCTCAATTGCTACTCCATTTGGCCCCACGGGTAGAGTGGCATCCACATGCAAGGATGAAACTGTTGCGTATGTAGACAAGATAGGTGGGCCAAGAATAGCTATGGAGACAAAGAAAGATGAATAAATAAGTGTTGCAACATAATACATTTGGATTGAAGGAAACAAAGAAATGCATGAATATGTGTGAAGATTCTTACTGTCTGCTAAAGGGTTAAATCTGATGGTTTTGCCATGAATGCTTCCATTAACGAACACCTGAGCATAGTAGTTAACGTCATGGGCTGATGGGGTTTCTGCAGTCAGGTCACAGGACAGAGCAGTAATGTTCTGACACTCCTTTTTTATCTGGAATGGCTGCTCCTTAGCATCACTGAAAAAAGTGCAATACAATGTGATCAAACTGTGACACTGGAAGCACATGAACAAGGCAGTGTATTATTGTTCACTGGTACTGTATGAAAACGAAAAATGAGCTGTGTTTAATTCCCTGAACATATTAACCATTTGATACAGTTGTCCATTCACTAGTTTGAGTCATGGACTTCTAAAAATAAATATTATTAAACAGAAACTTGAAATTCTGACAACGTACATTCAGGCACTGAGACAGTTTTGTGCAGTAGATGTATACGGCAAAATTACCACAAAAAGATCACCCTAACCCGTTCATCCATTCATCATTTGAACACACAGTGCCTTTTTTGAAGGAGACGAATGACAGCAGTTAGCTTTAACAAGGAACTCATATTGAGCGGGCATAGTTAAACCTTTCTTCCTTTGCAGCTGATTTGATGCTGGAAGTCACTCCAGCAATTTCAGGTGACACTGGCGGGGGGAAAAAATCAACAGGATAGGGGTTGCACTTGACATTTGTCTGGGAGACTGCGTCATGAGTAATTAGACGAGATGACATTTCCATTTGTAGAAACTGAGTGAAAAGAAATTCTTCTTGTATGCCATGAAAGTGGACTATGAGCATCCCCTCTCCTTTCAATGAGGAGAGCAGGGAGCAGTCCATGCTAATGACTGGGAACAGGCCCTACAGCCTTTCTTTAGTATTGCTTCTAAGCCGTTTGCAGTAGAATTGAATCCAAGCAACAGCGTGGTACACTTCAATAGCTGCATGGTAAGTTTTGAGCAAAACATTTATAGAGCCGCTAGCCATTTCTAGAAGAGAGAGGGACAAGAGGCTGCAAAGGGAAGCCAGGGAAGAAATTAGTTGCTACCACATTAAATGTAATTCCTAAATCCTAAAGGATAAGGCTGCCTATTTTCTCTGTTTTTCTCTGTCATTTTAAACATATCTCATTGAAAGAACAAAGCCAACAATGCACTAAGTAGGGAAAGTCAGTACTGAGAGATGTGGCTGTCAACCCCAAATCTACTTGTTCCTACTGAAGACGTAAATCTCAATCTAAGATCACAAACAGTTTGTAAATATATATTTTCTTCTTTTTTTTAAAGGCTCAGTAATTTCTTTAAACAGCTGAGCACCCACTTACACTGGCAGCAAGAGCCCATGTTCATCATATTCAAGGAACATGTTAAACGGTGCAACAATGTGGTTCATTTATGTTTCTTATAGTTTTATTATGATAATGGAGTAAGTTAGTACTTGTTAATAATTGTAGCTTTTTGTCTTTACATAGGATTTGTTGACAATAAAGAAACACTAACAGACCATGGATCACCAGACTTATCATTTTCCTTAAATAATAATATTTGTGAGCAGGAGATTTCATTATAACTTAGTGTTGATTTTTTTTATTGTAGTTACATCCAATGTGTCCGAATACAGTATTTCCCCCCCCCCCCCCCATAGATCAGCACAGACCATCTGGTGACCAGGGTTGTACTCAATGTACTAAATTCTGAAAGAAAGAAGAAGAAAGAAGACTAGTACTTTATTGATCCCCCTAGGGGGAAAATGTTTTTCTGTTTTCACTCCTTTTTTTTTTATATAACACACACAACAGGCTGAAATGCATGCACTTCATGCAGCATGTGGACATGCAAAGGGGCATAGATGGGAGTATCTGACACATTACCGCAGCGCCCATAGAGCAGGTTTGCGGGTTACAGGTTCAGCCTTGCTCAGGCACCCTCAAGCACGTGCACAGAGGTGAACTGGCCCACCTCCTCCAGCTCCCAGGTCCACCACTCCAATACGTTTCCAAGCCAAGGGGTCCCCTTAACACGACCCGAGCCTACTGCCCCATAGGGC